AGACACCCTATGGTACCACAGCTCTACGGAGCAGCCGTCGGGCCCGCAAAGGCACGGCATTTCTGTAGTTCTGCACAAACGTCTTGCGAAGAATCTCTTAGACATACAGCCCATTTCAGAACGCATCGTACTGGTCAAACTTAGGTGCCCAGGCCGCCCGCTGGCCTTCATAGGCTTGTATGCGCCCACGGCCGACTCCAGCCAGGAAAGTAAAAACGATTTCTGGTCGCTTGTTCAACAAACCTACAAGCCGGTGAAGCACAGCTGCATCACATACCTCTTTGGGGACTTGAATGCGCGGGTGCAAATCAACTCAGGAGACGACCCGGCGGTGGTTGGCTGGTACACTTTCGACCGGGAGCACACTTCTCTCGATTCGCAGACCCCAGAGGTCAGCGACAACCGGGAGCGTCTCTTAGATTTCTGTGGACAGCACCGTCTCCAGCTCAGCAACACATTCTTTTCGAAACCACAGAGGAAGCTGTGCACATACCTTCAACACAAAGATCAAGAGGTTGAGCCGCCATGGCACAGACCCAAGTATGAAACGCTTGACTATGTCATCGCGCCACAACGTTGGAAAAACAATATATTAAACTGCGAAGCCGACCCCCTGTCGGGTTTGGAATCGGACCATTTCCCGTTAATAAGTACCATCCGTGTCAGACTCAAGGCAATGAGACACACCTCACTCAAGCCGCCGTCACAGTGGCAAGCGCCACACCGCGAAGCCCGGCTAGCGTTCAACCAGAAGCTCGCAGATAGGGACCGCCCACCAACCGTTACGGAATACAGGGACCTAATGCTCGCATCCGCGCAGGAGCATCTCCAGGAGGAGAGAATTGCCCGCAAGGGTTTCAGTATCTCCCCAGCACTGGACCGTAAATTCGTGGAGCGCACCGAAGCCAAGCGTACTGGCGACCACGCAAGATACAAAGCACTCTGCAAGGAAATCCACAAAGACATCAAGATTGCCAAAAAGCAACACATCAGAGACACGTTATCCACAACACTCGACGTAAGGGAGCGATGGTTGGGTATCCGACAGCTGAAAACTGGTTACCAACCAATGCCATACCATACAAAAGTCGACGGCAAACCTGTGCCAGTCCATCTGCGCGCGGAGGCTGCGGCGGCCCATCTGGCAACCAAGCAATGGAGGAAACCAGACAGGTACCGCCCCAAATTTGAATCCTCTCAGCTAGTCGACAGCCCCCCGCCCGTCGAGACTGGCCCCATCACGTTGCCGGAGCTAAAATCGCTTCTCAAAAAATGGAAACGACGCAAGGCGCCCAGCCCAGACGGTTTGTCCATGGATCTCATCCGCGAACTCGATAACGACAACCTCAAAAATGTTCTCGCCTTCCTGAACCAATGGTGGTCAGATGAGTTCGTCCCCGACGATATGTTGGCGGCCAGGGTGGTACTCCTGTTCAAGAACAAAGGCAGCGCTGCCAACCTCGACAACTACCGCCCCATCTCCCTGCTGAATTCGTTCTACAAGCCCATTGCGGGTGTCCTCAAAGACCGCATTGCCAAGCAGATTGACCATCTTCTACAACCCACGCAGTTTGGATTCCGGGCGCGGCGCAGCACGTCCCAAGCTTTAAAGATTGTCAGACAGATGGTACACCAAGGCGCCAGCACCCGCACGTACAAGCAGGGCTCTCCGCTCTATCTGTTGTTCCTAGACTGGGAAAAGGCGTTCGACCGCGTCACGCACGCAGCCTTATTCAGCGCTCTGGAACGCATGCAGCTGCCGGACAAAATTGTCAACGTTGTGAAAGCCTTGTATCGGAACCCCACTTTCCAGGTAGGCATGGACAACTACGAATCAAAATGGCACCGCCAGGACGCTGGGATCCGCCAGGGCTGCCCCCTCTCACCGTATCTCTTTCTGATCGTCATGCATGTGCTGTTCCAGGACATCTACAGCAAGCACGGCACGTCGCTTTCGGAAGGACGCCCGCCTGGAGTTACCTTCGACGTCGTACTGTTCGCTGACGACACCATGTGCGTTTCTTCGAATAAAGCCCAAATCACTCGCATGCTGCACGCCATTGAAAAAGAAAGCGCACGTTTCGGCCTCAACCTAAACAAAACAAAATGTGAACTCATGGTCATCGGACAGCCAAGCCGGATAAAATACCGAGATGGCACACATGTTCCGTGCGCGGAGACGGTAAAATATCTAGGCTGCTCCCTGGACAGTAAAAATGACGTCGGTAAAGAGATCAGCGCCCGCATCCGTAACTGCTACCAGACGATGCAGCGACTGGATGCGTTCTGGCTGCACAGCGATTGCTCAGTCTCGCAAAAAATACAAGTATTCAGCGCCGTATGCAGATCGAAATTGCTGTACGGCTTAGAAACTACCCAACTGACCCCCGGACAGACACAGCGGCTCGACGGTTTTCAATTGAAAGGCCTCCGCAAGATCCTCGGGATCCCAACCACCTTCGGCCAAATGGCCCAGGGCCAGGACCGCACGAACACGAACGAGTACATCTACAGCCAAGCCCAAAACGCCCTCAATAGCAGGAGACCGCATAAACCCCTCGAGCGCTTCAGCGCCACGTACGAAAGACTCAAGCTTGACCTGCTCTGCCGCTTGATCTCAGCCCCTGCGACTGACCCAGTCGCCTCCTGCACTTTCGACCCACATACGCTCAATCCTTGGGACTATGGCCCCAAACGCGTCGGGAGACCACGGAAGGCTGGAGAGTGGTACGAGCTTACCGCAGACACCCTCTGGCGGACATCAGTAGTGCCACCCCGGCCATGGCTCGAAGATACAGCGCTCGACCTCACACTGGCTCATCATAGACTTCTCTTACGAGTCACGGCGTGGCAAAGGATGAAGACACTCCACCCTAAGTTATATCGTGAGCAATTTCCACCGCCGCCCACCCCTCCAGCGGGGACACATGGGGTGGGGCTGCGCCTCGGCGACCGATGGATTTACGCAGGCTGACCACACTGCTTCTTCTTTTACGCGACCGCATACGACAAAAGAAAAAACTTCAGGTCCGCCCTGCCTGGACGGCCCTTGCTTCCTCCCTCGCAGCCGCCTTGGTTCCGCCCTGTTCCCCCCCCCCCCCCCTTTCCCCTCCCCCCCTCCCCCTCCCCCCCTTCCTCGCCCTCCTCCTCCCCCCCTTCCCTCTTCCCTCCCCCCCCTTCCTTCTCCCTTCCCCTCTCCCCCCCTCCCCTCTCCCCCCTCCCCTCCCCCCTTCCCCCCCTCCCCTCTCTCCCCCCCCCGGGGGGGGGAGCGGATGTTCCACAGGTGACCGTTGGATGATTCATGCCACACGCTGCTAGCACAAATCTAATCGATACCCCGGCCGACGACCGGCTATAGGAGGCGTCGCCTCCCGACTGCTTCGCCTCCCGGCTATAGGAGGCATCGCTTCGCGGACTGGATTCGCGGTGCGGCGCGGCAGTCGAGCCACGAGCAAAATATATAGATATATATATATAGACATATATATATATATATATATATATAGGTATATATAGCTAGATAGACATATATATGGATAGATATATAAATAGAGAGAGAGAGAGAGAGAGAGAGAGAAACAACAAGAAAAAGGAAGAGAGAGAGAGAGAGAGAGCACTTGCCGGAGGAGAGCAACGCACGAACAAGACGTTTTTTGAGGCACGTGTTGTGTCAGCCTGCGTCGACCTCTCGCGCGGCCGAGGCCAACGTGGGCCATCAGGTGGAGCGAGCACAACCGGATGCATCCGGATGTGTGGGAGGATCGGCAAACTCGGTCAAACATCGGCGCAGTGGCCAGCCGTAAAGGAGGGCAAAAGGCAGAAGGGAGGCAGGGGCAGCTCGAGAGTGGAGGAGGCGTCATGGCGGATGGAGAGGGCGACGAAGCGGGAGGGGTGTCCGACGCAGCGAAAAGATGGACGGGATGCGCAGGCGGGAGAAGTTACCGCGGGCGTTGCAGCACACATCGAAGACGCAAAGCACGCACGAACATAGACTTACAACGCTCCGCGCGGATCTCTTGGACCTGCACGGGGGCCCCCTGGCCGCGCCTCTCGCGCCGCCCGTGGCGCGCTCCGCGCGCCAGGGAGGGGCCCGGCGCAAGTCCAAGAACTCCGTGCGGTCCGTCGAAAGTTTGCGTTGATGTGTCTTTGTTCCCAGCCATCTTGTGGTGTCGGGTCCCCGTTTTGAAGAGACAGCGCCCCGCGTTCCTCCTTCTCCCGCTGCTCCCTCCTCCCTCATCCTCCCGTCACCCCCCTCACTTTAGCACACCCCTCACACGTTTCGTGGCCCTATAGGGAGCTCCACCGAAGGCCCCAGTGGCAGGGTCCGCATGCGGTTCGCTGCCCTACAGGGAGCTCCACCGAAGGCCCCAGCGGCAGGGTCCGCATGCGGTTCCCCGCCCATGTCGGCACACCCCTCACACGATTCGTGGCCCCATAGGGAGCTCCACCGAAGGCCCCAGTAGCAGGATCCGCATGCGGTTCCCCGCCCATTTCGTCACACCCCTCACACGGTTCGTGGCCCCATAGGGAGGCCCATCGAACGATGGACCGACCCAGAACGCGGGATCCACAATTGCTTATGGTTGGGCTCTTCGTCAGGCGAATTCCTTCCCCTGGTATTTGCGTCGGTCACTCGTGGTTTTTCTGAACAGGCCGCTTTCGTCGAGGCAACATCTCGATAATTAGCCCAGTCGCCCACCACTTCGTGATTCCCTCCGTGGGGTCTTGTGTCGCCATCCCGGGGCGGCTCGGAGGGTGCAGAAGCAAGAGCGAGCAGCGTCGGAAGTGACGGTGCGCATGCCCTCCAATGATGCCTCCAGGGCTCGACCGCTCGGGCGGCGATTCGTTCAAGCGGCCTTCCCCCTATCCTCGTCAAAATGTCATTCTCTTCGTGCTTCTCGTTCTCCTCCTCTCTGTCGTCCGGCTTGTCCTCATCGTTCTGTCCGTTCTCGTACCCTCTCCTCCTCATCGTCACCCCTCGCCCCCACCCCCCTGTTCAGGTACTTTTCGAATTCAGCCAATCGTTCGCCCTCGGCGGAATCCTCGGCTTCGCGGGCGGGTTCCACAACATGGCTTGCATCTCATTGAGCCGAGAGTTGAAGAGCAGTGGCCTCAGATGTCCGTATAGAGGAGGAGGTGGGGAGGGGAACGACGAGCAGGAAGAAGAGTGAACACGTGGAGGTGGATGTGGAGAAGCCGCAGAAAGAATTTTATAATGAAGATCAGGAGGAGCAGGAGGAAGCGGACACGAGCTGGACGAGCATCCTCCCGTCCCAAGTCCCCTCACAGGTTCGTGCAAGCATTCTGCGCCCTCTTGAGTGCCAGGACCTCGTGGGCCCGCAATTCAGTCGGGATCTTCGTTTAGAAAGGGAGTTGCTCTTCGACGTTCGAGCAGCGAGGCGCGCGGCAGGGTGGGAGGACAACGTCAGGGGACGTGTCCAGTGGCAGCTCCGCTTTGAGAAGGAGACACCCTCTGTCCATGCATGTGCTGCACGCTCCCACCCCCCCCACCCCACCACCACCACACACACACACACACATATATATATATATATATATATGATAGCCAGCGTGGGCCCCGAACAGCTTGTTTCTAGCAGTAGATGTGGCGATCGTGTTCTTGTTCGCTGTTGTGCCCATCGGCGCGGGCCCTCGCACACCCCCCCCCTACCCCCCAATGGAGTAGACCTTGTCTGTTTTGGGAGCCTGTTTCGAGCAGGTGGAGTCTCCCCCATAGGACGCACTATTGCAGACAGTCGCATTAAGCAGAGGTCCGGAGCCAGACCCCCCGTCCCTCCCCCCTTCCGCCCAATGTCGAAACTCCGAATAAGAAGACAATCGCGTGGTGAAACCTGTGCTGTGCAATCTAGACTGTGCGCTCTACGTGGTGTAACACATGCTGTGCAACCCATGTGGCACATTCGACATGATTCAATATGTGTTGTGCAGATTATGCGGTATTGTCTAAGTGGTGCTCCCTATGTGGTGCAATCTTTGCTATGCGATCTACGCGGTGCAGTCTATGTGTTGCACCCGATGTATTACAATCAATATTGTGCAATCCATGTGGTGCCGCGTGCCCGGTGCAATCCATGTTGTGCAGATTATGTGGTGCATTCTATGTGGTGCAATATTCACGGTGCAGTCTGGACGGTGCAATGGATGTCGTGCAATTGATATTTACAAACGAGTTGTCAAATTCCACGCCCTTGCAAACATCCCACACACCCACCCGCAACTTAGTTTGCAAAGCCCATGCAGCGGCGATTGCGATGAGTGCTTGGCGTTGGATGGTGCATCTCTGTGGCCGCGCTAGCCCACACGTGCTCGCGCGCACAGCGGCCAGCTAGTTTGGCGCGACCGACGCGGCCGCGGTGGCGCTGACCGCTGAGCACTTCCCAGCGGGCATTTCAGTGCTAGCGCAGTATCGTCGTGACGCCGACGACGATGTGCACGCTTACGAGAGTAGCGATGATGGTGACGATGGTGGCGATGATGACGGCACGGCCAATGCCGACGCCGATGTTGATCACGCCCGCCGGTAACGAAGACGACTTCCTCGCGTCGGCGATGAGGCTTTCAGAAGGAGTTCGACATGCGCGCGCGGCGGACGCGCGCGAGTGGCCCGCGTGGTTTTCTTTGACACGGATCACGCCCCCCCCCAGCACGCGCGCATGGGCGTTCGAATGTTCGAATGAGTTCAGCATGCGGCGCGACAGGCCCGTATGGCAGAAATTTGTGAATATGTTGGACATCTCACGGGATGCTTAAGAATTCGCAAGATCGCGAGCGCAAGTTTTTTTTGTTGGGGGAAAACGGATGCTGCAAAACCGTATGTTTTTGTATGTTTTCAGGCCACTCGATTTTGAATCCTTCCGAAACCGAAGTTTTGTTCAAGGATTCTGGCATGCGCGCGCGACGTCGCGTGCGTGTGCACGCCAATTCTTGTGTTGCAAGGGATTCTTGCGACAGCACGCGCGCAAAGGGTTTTGGAACAATCCCCACAATTCCCGCAGCAAGCGCGCAAGGGTCCAATGTGGAAATATGCCCATGGCGTTCCTATAGCGTTTTCAAATCGGCGTCTTGAACATCATTTTTTCGCGTTTACAGGTTTCAACCGAAAACTCAGAACGCTAAAACAATAAAGCGCTGCCGTAGCGTTTTAGGATGTCGTCTTCGCGTTTAAAGTTTACAAGCAACGCCACACACAGCAACTGCCTTAAAAACGCCTTGAAGAACGTATCGTTGCTTGCGCGTTTGCAGCCCGTCAAAAGCCCAAAGTAGAACACCTTTGCTAAACATGCATTTGCAAGGCGCATCAACACATGTTGAAACACCGTGGTTTTCTTCAGAAATCGCAGGGGCGCGTGCGCACACTAAACAAAAGTTCATGTTTGTGTACAGGGTTTCGTGACGCTCAATTTTGAAACCCTTGCGAAACCGAAGGTTTGTTCAAGGATTTCGGCATGCGCGCGCGACGACGTGCGCGTGTGCATGTCGTCCCATTGTATGCAAGGAATTGTTGACAACAAAAACTTTTGATCTTTGATAAGCGAGAGTGTGCGCATATTTTTGGGGTATGGGGTGGCGGGGGGGGGTCCGTACTGGTAGGGCTGGGGTGGTACGAATTCATATGTTGGGTGGACGAAGGGCTAAGATCATACATGAGTTCACCTGCCAAACCAACAACCGCTACGTCCGGGGCGGGGATGGGGAAATAATCGTTTTTTCCCATGTTTTTAGTGTGCACATTTATACATATATATACACACTATACATACATCTATATATACATATATATATATATATATATAGTATAGGGCGGCGACGAGGCGTCGACGGGGCGGCGACAGCGGCCACATAGCTGTCAGACCGAGCGGCAGGCACAGACGACGGGCGACGACGAGGCGGCGACGGCGGCCACAAATCCGCCAGACCGACGGAGGGGCCCAGGCAGCGGGCGGCAACGGGGCGGCGACGGCGGCCACAGAGCCGCCAGGCCGACACGAGGGCCCAGTTCCTTAGGACAGTCAGAGCGTGAATTACCTACCCCGCTTTCGCTTCCGGGCAAAACCAAGTCATACCATACGCCTCCTCGTCAAGCGGCCTGACCAGTACATGCCGCAGTTTGGCATCGCTTGGTATCTCTTGGAAGCGAGGGTGGTCAAAAGCGAGGTGGGTTTGTTTGCCCCCCACAAAGCAGGAGCCCCTGAGTGCAACCGCTCTCTGGGAAAAAGAAATCAGCGACAACCACAGCACACATTTCCAGAGAGTTCGCTCATGTTTGCTCGCGCGTCAGCCAAGTTGAGTACCCACCCCCTCCCCGTGCCCATGCTGTGTGTTCACTGAAAGTGCTTCTCCCGGGGCGTGCACCCTGTTTTGAACAAGGGGAAGCATTGAAGCTCGGACTGCATTGTTGGCCCCCCGTTTGATTACAACAACTGCGGTTCCCGCTTGGTACTTACTCGGACGCCGCGCCTTGGACAATCAGGAGTCATGCTCTCGCCCTCTGGTCGCTCTCACGATTTACTTGGGGATCGCGCGATCGCTTGAGACATCCTCGCGAATCATCCACGACCCACGCTTCAGCAACCTGCTTGCTCGACCTGGCCGCGGGGGCCCGCCTTCCCGACCCGCCTGTTGGGGCCTACCCGTCCGATCTGCTTGTCTGGTTCTGCCCCGTGCTCCCAGCCCACCGCCTGCTATTCTCTCTTGCTCGTTCCTTCTCCCTCCCCCTCCCACCCGCCCTCTCTTCCCATGTTTTGGGGACTGCGCCACATACGCGTGGCAGGTAAGGAGGATATTCATCCAAGGGGGCACGATCGAAGACAAAGAGGGTGGGTACCGAGGGTTTGGGGTATACTTGTTGAGTGGCACGCGGGCAGATAAGAGCGAGCAGTCTTGACGTGAGTGTTGTTGTAGTTGTGGGGCAACAGTCCTGTTGCAAAAATTGGAACAGGCCCTGGGAATGGCACTGTAGGTGAAAGGCACGTATGTGACAAAAGGGGTGGGGCTGAGAATAATTGACGGTTCTTCCCCACACCCTATGTCTTGATTTTTTTAATACGGGCTCCTTGGAAGTCCCGACCCTTTCCCCGGGACCGGTTTTTCGTCCTGAGTCGTTTTTTGACGGTCCCAGGGCCCGGCGAGGGCCCCTAGAGGCCAAAAGCTTAGCAAAACCTCCGTCTTGATTTTTTCAATGCGTTGGACCTCTGGGTCACGAAAGCAGCCAATGTGACATTGTTTGCGCTTCGCTGCTCGGATGGCATCCAACATATGCGTCCCGAGGCCTCGGTCACCCGCATCCTTCGGGGTATACCTTCTTTGCCGGCCAGATGTAGGCTGCGCGGCCCCATAAACACGGAGGAGGAGGAGGAGGAGGAGGAGGAGGAGGAGGACAAGGAGGGGGAGGAGGAGGAGGACGAGGAGGGTGAGGAAGGGGACGAGGAGGGGAAGAGGAGGAGGAGGAGCAGGAGGAGGAGGAGGAGGAGGAGGAGGGAAAACGATCAGGGAGTGAGCGAGGAATGGAGGAGGGAACCACAGATGGGGCCGGAAAGGGAGAGAGGAGCATCGAGGGCGAAGGAAGATTCGGCAGGACGGGGAGGAACGAGGGGGGACCCGCAGCTTCGGCAAGCGGGCCCCGACGGGGCAGGCCGAGCAGGCGGGCCCTGGCGGGCGGGCCGGGCGGGCGGTGCGTTGCAGTCGGGGCTCTGAGTAAGGAACCCTTCTCGCTGGGGAGGGGCTCCGTGTTCCTTCATTGTCTCACATTCTGCCCCAGGTTCTCCTTGGATTTTCGAGTTCGATGGGAAGTCGAAGTGGAACTTCTGGAGAGAAGGGGCCTCGTTCCTCATTTAGGGCTCCTCAGGTCAGCGCCCCGACGGTACGATGGGCGGAGAGGGCCTCCGAGCGCGCGGGCGGGCGGACGCGGACAGGCAGAGCGGGCGGGCGGGCGCGGACCCCGGGTGAGGCACGGACGGGCGGGGCGGGGAGAGGCGGCGGGGCGCGCACCTCGAGCAGGCGGGGGGCGCGCACGGCCGGGGAGCGGGCGGGCTGCTTCTGCGAGGAGGCGTCGCGCACGAGCCCGAGGACGAGGAAGGGGAGGAGGGACGAGGAAGGAGGAGGAGGAGGAGGAGGAGGAGGAGGAGGAGGAGGAGGATGGTTGGGAAATATAGGAAAATATGGGGAATCCTGTGATTTGTGTGTGTATTTATTTGTGTGTCCCAGGGCCCCCTTCAGATTGGGCGGGGCGGCGTCGTCCGACCAGGAGGGGGGGAGGACCCGGAAGTCACGCCTGCAGCCACCCAGCGACCAGATTTCGGATGTGAATTCCGCAACGCAGCCTCATCATCACCAAAACATCATCATCATCATCATCATCATCATCATCATCATCATCATCATCATCATCATCATCATCATCATCATCATCATCATCATCATCATCATCATCATCATCATCATCATCATCGTCACCCGGAAGTCAAGCCTGCAGCCACCCAGCGACCAGAATTTGGATGTGAATTCCGCGAAGCAGCACGGTGGCCGGAGCCCCACCCAGCAGGATGGTTCGGGAGCCTTGAGACGGGGGTCAATGCAAACGGGGGTTAGCCAGAGCGCCCGATTTTGCAGGATCCTGCAGGGCCAGGGTCGCATTGACCCGGGTCTGGGTGCAGGTTCCTGCAGGACCTTGCAGGATCCTTCGCCTGGCCCGGGTTTGGGTGCAGGGTCTGGCAGGATTCTGCAAGGCCTGACTGACCCGGATCTGGATTGACCCGGGTCAGGAGATCCCCGAATGGTGATCAGCTCGCCGCGCCATTGGGCACCAAGCTCCGCGCGGGGCTCACGGAATGCAGATGTCCTTCTCGGAGGTCCTCCCAGGAAGGATGCTGGTGGCGCTCAACTCTGCCCAAGATCTGCCCAAGAAGGGTACTCGCACGGACACTGTGGACCAGACTGTGCTGCGACCGAGCGGTCCCTCCGACGGCGTCCTGGCGCAGATCTGTCTTCGAAACTGTCCGAGGACTCGAAGCGCCTCCTCACAAGCGACACTCTGTGATCTAGAAGTGGTGAAGCCGCAGCAGACGAGATCTCGCACATCGAGCCGGCGCTGGAAGCGAACATTTCGGAGGGCCAAAAAAACACATGTGGGAACACAAACGCACGCATGTGTGGGAAAAAACAGACACACACACAAAACACAAAACACCCAAAAAACATGGTGGGAAAACACACACAAAAAAACACAGAGGGAAAACACACACACACAGACACACACAAAAACACACACACACACACACTTTGTGGGAACAGACACACGCAGGAGAGTTGAACCAATCGGCGGCGACCTCTGAAGACCTTCCAGCGGTGACTTCCTCCTTGTCAGGGGGCCGTCCATGCGGCCCCGCGCGGCCGCGGCGCCTGGCGGCGCCCTGCGGTCCTCGTCCTTCGCGGAAGCGCGCGCTATGCAGCCCATTCGCAAAGATCTGCTGATTTGAAGTGCCAGCCTGGTACACATCCCTACCCCGAGGATTGGCATCACCCGATCTCGATGCCGATCTCAAGGACGCCTCTGGTCTCTGAAGGCGCATCCCTAAAGATTGTCATCGCCCCTGGGCGTGTCAATCTCAGGGATATGGATAGGATCGAGGCTGGTTAATTCAGCCCACTTGCAAATCTCTACTGACTCGCAAGCGGGGGTATGGATTTCGTTCGGATTGTTAAAGGCATCGATCGGAGACCATGGGCAAGCGTGGTTGCCACTGCGGGCATCCCTTCCAAGTTTTACACGTCGGGGCTTCGAGTCAGATTCGTGATATCCTTTCCTGCTGTGGTTGGCTTCTCCCCGCGCCGCGCTGTAGACTGGGCCGCCCTCCTCCGCCCCCCCCCCCCCGCCTGGAGCACAGCTCGGAGGCGTCCTCCCGCAGATGCGAGCAGGGTCGTGCATCCGGCCCCCAAGGCGTGCGCCGACACGCCGCGGTCGTGCCAGTTGCGGCGTCGAGGATCCTGCCACCACCGTGCTTGTGATGTATCACCCGCAGCAGGGTAAACTCAAAGTGTGGTGTGATGTTGCAGAGGAAGACGTTTACAGCTCGCCAATCCACGAATCACGACCAACATTGGCAGCGAGCGCAGCGGTAGCAAAGGAAGCCGAACCGTATCGATGTGAATTTTGAGGCAAGCGGAGCAACTGGAAGTTCGGTTGGGAGTTCGCATGGGGAGAACGAGCAGGGAGATTCGGGAGTGGAGAATCGAGGACAGGAAGCAGCAAACAAATAAAATGAGGACGGAGACGGGGTAAGGGGGAGAAGCGGGTGAATGGGGATACTGAGGATAGGGGGAGGGAAAAAGGGGGAGGAGGAAGAGGAGGGAGGAAGAGGATGAAAGGGGAAGGGGCGGCGGAGAGTCAGAGGGATGAGAGCAAGGAGGAGGAGGAGGAGGAGGAGCAGGAGCAGGAGCAGGAGCAGTTGCAGAGTAAGGAGCAGTAGGCCGAGGAAGAAGGTGAGGGACAGGAGGAGAGGAGAAGGAGGAGGAGGAGGAGGAGGAGGAACAGGGTGCTGTGCTCTCCGAGGCCTCCCCTTCCTCGTCCTCCCTTCGCCCTCCTCCGCCCGCCCCCCCCCCTCCTCTGCCGGGGCTCTCCTGAGGCTACAGTCGAGCGCCCGCCAGCATCGTGGCCTTCCTGTCGTGCGGCCTGTGGCTTGCGGGGCTCGGCCCCATGTTGAAGGCGAGCTCGGGTGTGCCCATGCCGCACGGGAGCGGGGGGGAGAAAGTGGAGGAGGAGGAGGAGGAGGAGGAGGAGGAGGAGGAGGAGGGGGAGGAGGAGGAGGAGGAGGAGGAGGAGGAGGAGGAGGAGGAGGAGGAGGAGGAGGAGGAGGCAGAAGAGAAATAAGCGGATGATCATGAGGAGGATGAGGGGAGGGAGGGGGAGAAAGCAACATCAGGAGGAGGAGGATGGTCAGCTGGAAGAGAGGGTCGAGGCAGGGAAGACGAGCAGGTCGGCAAGGTGGAGGAGAGAGGGAGAGAGGGCAACATGTTGACAGGGTCACGTCCGAGGAGGAGCATTTGGGTCGTTAGGAGGACACCAGGGAGCACACTGCAGGGAGATGAGGTCGAGGAGGAGTTGGAAGACGAGTAGGCACAGGCGAAGGAAGACGAGAACGAGGGGGAGGATGGGGGGCGGGAAACACGAAGAACGGGGGAGGCCCAGATGAGCTGTCTCGGGTACCCTAGACGACTTCATTATTCTTGTGTGTAATGTTTGACATGCATCTTCAGATAATTAGAGGTGTCTCACGTAAGATCGGCAGATTTGGAGGAGGAGGATGACGACGACGACACGCAGTTTGGCGGCAGAAGGTTGAATTTGTAGGAGCAGGGGGATTCTCAGGCCAGCTTTGGCGTGGACCGCACTCGGATGTAATGGCAGCGAGGTGATGTCACAATCCGCACCGGGATACGACCCAGCTATACCTCCCCAGAGCTTACGAGTTTCGGGTGGGTGGTGCCTGCCCTGTTTCTGCCATATCCCAGGGCGCTACAAACGGCAAAAGGCCATCTTGGTGCCTGCTCCAGTGGTTCGCGTTCTACGTGCGCCAGCGTCCCAAAGAACGGGTCAGAGAGCTAGGATTGTGGTCAGAGAGCCAATCTGTGTTGCCACAGGGCCACGTACGGAGAGTGGAGAACGGCAGACAGATCAGCCGACGTACCCAGAGTTTGAAGCACCAAACTTCGAACCAGGAAAGGCTAAATACACAAGGCGGCAACTTTCTGGATTTGGGAGGCTCAGAACGGTGAGCATCTCGCGCTTCTGCCTCTCGTTATGGATCGGCCCTGCACCATGCTCTGGACTTAGGGTGAACCATCCTCGATAAACACCGCTTGGACTGCGCCCGGCAGCGCCACCGCGTGGACCTCTCACCTCACGCACCGCTGTCGATTGCGCACGCGCCGAATGCACTTGGAGCGATATGGAACGGATATTATTGTGCCACCATTGGACGCACCATCCTCGAGTGTGCACGCACGGAATGCTCCCAGGATGGTCTTGGACGCACACCATGGCCAGGGCCTGGAACGCACCGTCCTCGAGCAGGCACGAGGAAATTAGATTGTCCATGCCGAGACCGCGCGATAGTGTCAAGAAGACGGGATCATGTGACTTCCCAGGGGGCGACTGTGTGGGCATAAGATTTCACCTCGCTAGAACACGATAAAACATATGCTAGTATTACGTCGGGCATGTCCCTCTGCAGGAGGAATATGCAAAAACGGTTAAACCTAGTCTGGGGACTGTTTCTTAAACTATGTTTGGCCATGTTGGAGTGTGTTTTGAATATTTGTTGCATTTGTCGTCCAAAATCCCCCTGTAGGAGGACACGCCCTACCCAATCCTTTATCCTCCGTCCTCCCCCCAGCGGATGATTGCGGTCGTGGCGTGAGATTGGGTTCATGCCTATCCACCCCCCCGCCCCTGCGCAGGTTCCACGATTCATTTTCGCCGGCTTGTTGCTATGGGTTGGCCTCAAGTTCCTGCGACAGTATTTGTGGCGGCCATGCCAGATGCTCCCACGGGGATCGACACCGCCCAGAGCAGAGATGGCCACGTCATGGGGCACGAAGAGCAGACGATTAAGACGGGGGATGAATCAGCGCGTGGTGCGGGAACAGAGGAGGAGAGAGGATAGCAAAGCATAGTCGCAACAAAGTGTCAGCTCATGTGTAAAATTATCGAATGGGGTTGAGGAGACCGACGAATGGATAGAATTGAAGTGGATTGTCACAACGGTGGAGGACGAACCAATGATTGGGGAATGGTGTATATTTATATGCGTGCGTTGGGACGCCAGTGCTGGTGAGAGGGAGCATGGGGGCGAGAAGGAAGACAGCGAACTACGCGAGGCCTAGCAAGACGGGGCCAACAGGAGTGTGGTGTACGATGTGCGGGGAGACGCACGACTTGAGGAGCAGCGGCAGCGAAGAGAAGCAGCCAGCAGCCACAGCTCGCAGACTCCAGCGGCCTCCCAGCTGTTCACAGAGGCAGCGGCGCGGGAGCGGCTGGCCCGAGAGCACAGGCCGGCTTGCCGCACAGGCGAGAGCCGCATCTTCACGATTCGGCAGACAATCGCAAGTGTTTGTGTTATCGCTTGCGCCATGGAGCTGCGATGAATGAACTGATCACATCGTACCACTCCGGTGCCAGCAGTACGACTACTGCGGCTGCGACGAACATTGAGAGCCCTGCTGCTTAGCCCACCAGTGTGCCTGCGCACATACATTATTGAACCCAGCATTGGCGTCCCGAGCCTTCTCAATCATAACAGAACCTCGTTCTGCCTGGCCGCTTTCCTTGGACCTCAAGTGTGGCAGCGGGATCTGCCACACTTGGGAGAAAGCTGCCAGGGGGAGCGCACTACTACCTACTACCGTATCAGCGCTCGGCGAACAGAACCGGCGTAATTGCACGCGCCCAGACAACTCTTCTGAGGTAGCGCTTCCACGCGTATTCTGAGTACGCTTCAGGCGGTTATCACTGCAGTCCGAACGCGTCTGGAATTCACCAGCCACGAGCGAGCCATCAGCCCTCTTCTTGTGGGTGCATCCACTGGGGCACGCAGGATACAGCAGTATTCAGGCGGAGACATCAGGGGGGAACCGAGAGCCCGAGAGAAGAGACAGGCCAGAGGAGATCGCAGCCAGCCCGAGCGGAGAGCAGAAGGACGAGCACTCACCTGCTCACGCCCCTGTTCCTGCTGGCCCCTGACCATGCCGCTGCTCCTCACCCTTGGCATCGACCATGCCCGTCCTCGTTCTCTCACCAGTGTCTGGTCACGCTCCACCTCATACTCCTTTCTACTCCTCGCCCTACTCAAGTCACGCTCCACCTCAGATTCCTTTCTACTCCTCGCCCTCCTCGAATTGCCTACCCGCGCACCGCTTCAGTCTAGCACCGGAGGCGCACCAGCTGGAAGCACAAGTCGCAGGCACGGTTGTCATGCGCCTCCTCTTCCCTATTTTCTCCTCTATTCTCGGGCCCCTTCTCCTCATCCCTTGTTCCATGATCGCAGGCACGGCAGGGTCACACTGGTTTGCCAGGAGCGGTTAGTTGTACCCCTCGAGGACAGTCTGCACTTGCTCAGTTGCGGGGACCATCTTCCCACATGTCTTCCTCCAGCCCTCTCCAGGCCAGATGTGTGCAAGGCACTCTTTCTCCTCTTCCATCTCTTCCTCCTTGAAACCTGTCTCATTCTCTCGCTCATCCTCTCCAGGAGAGGCGGCCGTCATCGTTTTCGTTGCGTTGACGATGAAGGTGGGGGGCTTCCCCCTGGGCGTGATCGGTGGTCTCGTGCTTGCGCTGGCGCACATGGTCGTCGACCAGGAGACAGCGTGCCCACACATGGAGCGCATATGGGGATACTTAGGGAGAGCGCAAGACGGAAACGTTTAGAGGAGGGAGAGTAGTGGAGAGCGTGTCTCTGGTGAGACGCGAGCTCTGTTGCTGTGACTGCACTCCAGCACGTCATACATCTTACAGCGTTAGGAGGACGTGGAGGACGTCCGGTAATCAACTTGGGTTGGCGGGTCGATTGTGAGAGGTCAAATCGGCCGCATATGTTCTGTTTCAC